GAACAGATAAACAAAATGTGATATATCCATACAATGGAATATATTCAGCCATAAAAAGGGATAAAGTACTGATACATGCTATAACATAGATGAACCTTGAAAACATCATGCCAAGTGAAAGATCCAGCCACAAAAGACTACATATTGTACAATTCTATTTATATGAAATTTCCAGAATAGGCAAATCTATAAAGATACAATGTAGATTGTGGTTGCCTAGGGGCTAAGGGAAGGGAGTGGGGGAGCGGGTTGGAGGATATAGAATGGTGACTGCTAAAAGGTACAGGGTTTCTTTTAGGGGTGATGAAAATGTTCTAAAATAATTGTGCTGATGGTTGCACAACTCTGAATATACTGAAAACCAGTGAATTGTACATTTTAAATGGATGAACTGTATGGTATGTATACCATATCTCAATAAAACCATTAGCAAAAAAAAGTAGGTATTAGCCAGAATTATGAATTTATGTTCAGTCTTCTGATAAACTCAAGCCTTAATTTTACAATTAGAAAAAGAGGTATAGCTATTACATAATACAAGAGATAAAATATTAAAAAATAATTATTTAATCCAAAAGAATCTCAAGAAAGAAGACCAAGAAAGAAAGAACTAATGGGAGAAATAGGAAACAAACAGCAAAATGGCACATTTAAACCCGACAGTATCAATGATTACATTAAAAGGAAATGGTTTAAACACTCCAAGATTAAATGCTACAGATTGGCAGACTAAATAAAAAAGCAAGACCCAATCACATGCTGCCTATGAGAAAGCCACTTTAAATATAATGGCACAGATAGATTAAAAATAAAAGAATAGACAATGTTTAACCATGCTAAGAAGAAATTAAAAGAAAGCTGGAGTGGCTACATGAATTTCAAAGTAGACTTGAATATGCGACAAAGTAGACTTCAGAACAAGCATTAATACCAGATATAAAGAGGGACATCTCACAATGAAAAAAAGAGACCAATTCATCAGAAAGATATAACAATCCTAAATATGTATGTACCTAATGACAAAGCTCCAAAATACATGAACCAAAAACAGACAAAACTGAAAGATACAGACAAATCCACAAATCCACAAATCCAGATGTAGATGTCAATACTCTCCTTTCAGTAATTGAACAAGTAGACAGAAAGTCAGTAAAAATATAGATGATTTAACTACTCTCAACCAACTTGATCTACTTGATATATATAGAACATACAGTGTCTAGTGTACATGAAACAGTAACCAAGAGAGATCATATTCCAGGCCACAAAACATTTAAATAAATTTCAAAGGACTGTAATTATACAGCACATATTCTCTGACAAGAACATAAATACATTAGTAATCAATAACAAAATGGCATCTGGAAAATCCTCAAATATCTGAAAATAAAACCACATACCTCTAAATAACCCATGGATCAAACAAGAGGTATGTAGAAAATTAGGAAATACTTTGCACTGAATGATAATAAAAACACAATATATCACAATTTGTGAGATACACCTAAAGCAGGGCTTAGAGGGAAATTGATAGTTTTAAATACTTGAAGTAAGAAATGTTTATAATCTATGAACTAAGGTTCCATCTTAAGAAGAAGAAAAGCAAATGAAATTCAAAGTTAAGTAGAAAAAAGGAAATAATCACAATGAAGCAAAAATCAAAGAAATAGAAAACAGAAAAGAATTAAAACATGGTTCTTGGAAATGATCAATAAAACAATAAACTTCTAGGGGCCAACCTGGTGGCGTAGCCGTTAAGATTGCGCACTCCACTTCAGCAGCCCAGGGTTCACAGGTTCGGATCCTGGGCAAGGACCTACGCATTGCTCATCAAGCCATGCTGTGGCAGGCATCCCACATATAAAGTAGAGGAAGATGGGCACAGATGTTAGCCCAGGGCCAATCTTCATCAAGCAAAAAGAGGACTGGCAACAGATGTTAGCTCAGGGCTAATCTTCCTCACAAAAAAAAAAAAAACACACACACAAAAAAACAATAAACTTCTAGCTAGAATGATCAAGAAAAATAAAAAGAGAGAGAAAATATAAATCACCAATATCAGGGGAAAAAAGGCTTCACTATAGACCCTACAGACATTAAAAGAATAAGTATATGTTATAAATAACTCTATGCCAATAAATTTGACTACTTAGATGACATGAACAAATTATCAAAACCGAGACAAGAAGGAATACAAATCTGAGTAGCTATGTATCTAATAAAGAAACTGAATTTGTCATTTAAAACCTTCCAATAAAGAAGAGGCCCTGATAGCTTCACTGCTGTATTATATTAAACATTCAAGGAGGAATTAATACTAGTATTTCACAAACTATTCCAGAAAATAGAGATGAAGGGAATACTTCCTTGTTCCTTTTAAGAAGCCAGCACTACCGTGATACCAAAACCAAAGATATTATAAGAAAAGAAAACTACAAACAACACCCCCCAACACTACTCCCCTTCCCCCCAGTCCCTCCCCCTACCACGCCCCCACACAAAAGGCAACAGATTTGAACTGACACTTCAAAAAAGAAGAATGGCCAATAAGCTCATGAAAAGAGGCTCAACATATTAGTCACCAGAGAAACACAAATTAAAACCAAAATGAGATAGATACCTCTACATGCCCAGTAAAATGGCCAAAACTAAATAGACTGACAATACCAAATGTAGGCAAAGATGAAGAACAAATGAAACTATCATACACTGCTGGTGGATGGGAATGGGGTGAGGTAGGAGTGTGATACAATCACTTTGGAAAATAGTTTTCAGTTTAGTATCAATTTAATATGCACTCAACATATGATCAAGGAATTCTGTTTTACCATATGACCCAGTATTTACCCACTAGAAAAGAAAACATAAGTTCACACAAAGACTTATAAATGAATGTTTATAGATACTTTATTCTTAATAGCCCAAATGTGGAAAAAACCCAAATGTTTATGAATAGATAAACAAATTCTGGTATTTTCATACAACAGAAATAAAAAGGAACTCAGGAATAAAAAGGAACAAATTACTGATACAGTCAAGAACACGGAAGAATTCCAAAAGTATATGCTGAGCAAAAGAAGGCAAATATATATACAAAAGAAGTACACATTGGATGGATTCTATTTATATGAAATTCTAGAAAAAGCAAAACTAATCTATAGTGACATAAAACAGATCAGTACGTGTATGGTGCCAGTGGTGGGGGTGAGGTGGACTGCAAAGGATCATGAGGGAACTTGCGGGGGTGATGGAAATGTTCTAATTCTTGAATAGGGTGGTGGTTACACAGGTGCAGACATCTATCAAAACTCAAACTGTACATTAAATATGTGTGCTTTTTTTACATGTAAATAAAGTTGATTTAAAAAGTAAAAGAGTGGGGTTTTCCCGGTGGTGTAGCTGTTAAGTTCGCGCACTTCACTTTGGTGGCCCAGGGTTTGCAGGTTAGGATCCCGGGTGCGAACCTACACACTGCTCATCAGGCCATGCTGTGGCAGGCATCCCACATACAAAATAGAGGAAGACTGGCACAGATGTTAGCTCAGAGACAATCTCCCTCAAGCAAAGAGAGGAAGATTGGCAACAGATGTTAGCTGAGAGCCAATCTTTCTCACCAAAAAAAAAAAAAAAAGATATAAAAAAAAAGTAAAAGAGTAGTAAAGCACACATACAGGCAGAAAGTCATATCTCTCTACTCTAACTGGGAGATATATTTGCAGCATGTAGAAGAAATTACTAGAATCCAGAATTCAAACACAACAACACCAAATAAAAAAAGAAATCCTCCTAAAACTCATGAGGTGAAGATGCAACCCAAAGGGCAGAGGAAATAGGCAAACTCATCCACATAGAAATCAAATGGATGACAAATGTGTAAAGATGATGAACTTCACTAGCAACCTAGGAAATGGAATGCCATTTTTCACTCACAAGACTGGTGCTTAAAACAACAAATGGTGGTGTGGTGGTGTGCACGTGAGAAATAACAGGGAATACAAGTGGAAGTACTGACTGGTACCACCACTATGGTGGGAACGGGAGAGTATATATTAAGTATATACTCTCCATGTTCAGCAATTCTACTTCTTGATTTTACCCAAAAGAAACTCATATGCACACAAGAAGGCATGAACAAAGATATCCACTGAAGCCATATTTATAGAAATGAAAACTTGGCAACAACTTAAATACCAAAGAGAAACGGCTAAATAAGATACATTTATGCTATAGATGCAATTAAAAGAAATGAAATACCTCTATATGTAATATATTATCTATATATAATCTCTATATATAATTAATAACATGGAAAGGTCTCTAAGATCTATTGCTGAGTAATTAAAAATACAGAACAATATATCTGTGCAGAAATAAATGAGAAAATGCTTATATGTAATGATTACATACATATATATGTAAATGCATATGAAAAGACTTGTAAAGGTATGTACAAAAGTAGCTCTGGTGAGATGGAGGAGGCAGAATTGGGAAAGGCTATTATCAGGGGTCCTGGTGAAACTTTCACAAGAAGAATATGTTCTTGTATTATTTATGTAAGTATAAATTAATGTAAAAAAAAAAAAAAAGACAAATCTGCTGATTTTAGAGGAGCTTGGAACTACTGTCTGAGGAAGCTCTTTCCATATATAAGTATGGTTGCTATGTCCTAGGGAAAGGAGTTCCTCAGACAAAAGCTGGAGAAGCGCTTACCACCTATGGCCTAGAATACCATAATAGTTTGCAACAAACTTAAAAGTCTCTTCCCCATACTGCCTGCAAAGCTTTTTCAGAGTACCTCTCAATCCAAGTTGCTCTGAATTCCATTATCTTGTTTTATTTTCTTCATAGCAATCATCACTATCTGAACTTATCTATTTATTCACTCATTTATTGTCTGTCTTCCACTAGAACGGGAATGGCAAGACAATTTTGAATTCATATGATTTTAGTCAAGCCATTTAGAGTTTTCTTACAGTATCAAAGATATTTTATTTACTTACCTTAGTTGGAAAAGGAAATTTGGAAGGTTCTGTTTTGCATGGTGTATGAATAGCCGTTAGAGGGGGAGGCCATGAATGCGTCATCTCCTGAAATGTAATTATTACAGTTTGTTTTCAACCAGGTCAAGGATAAAAATTATACAGCTAAAAACCAGATTTGTATTATAAATGCTGGTTTCATTATTGCTCCTCCAAAAGTATACATATTTAATCAAAAAAAATTAATTAAGCACAATTGTGTGCAATGAATGCACTATGGGGTAGGTAATAGGAAGATAAATAACATATACTCCCTGGCTTCAAGGAGCTTAGAGTTAAGATAACGAGACCTGTGAATAGTAACAGAAATTAGCCTGTAATCCAATACAAGGCATATAGTAAAATGCTACTGAGGAAGAGTGTGCTGTGGGAGTGGGAGGAGGGGGATAATAAGAAAAGCAGCTAACATTTATTGTGTACCTTTAATGGGCCAGATACTGTGCTAAGTGTTTTACATGTTTGTTACTCATCTAGTACTCACAATGGCATTATGAGGTAGACACCATTATTATCCTAACTCTGTGCAGGATAAAATTGAAGCACAGAGGTTAAGTTATTTATTCAAAGTCACACACACTTGGTAAGTAATGGACACAGAATTTCATCCTAGGACGTCTGGCTACAGAGCCCATTCGCTGATAGGAAATTTTGGTCAGGTGGAGGAAATCAGAAGAAAGATATCAAAAGCAAATGAGGAGGAAGACAGACAAGCAAGGCCATAAGTCTGATTTCATTCAATGCCTTCTGTCCAGTCATATGCCAAGTACGTCCAAGTGGAGGTTTGAATAGGATCACAATGTGTATGTCAGAGAAGCAGGGGAGAGGCAGGTATGAGACTCAGAATAAGAAGGGAGTGTTTTATTTCTGGCATTTAGTTCAAAGTAAGCCATCAGGTAGACTGAGAAAATACAATAAATTAAGGGTGGTATAACTTTCGGGAATTTACCCTGTAACTATACCCACACAGTTATGTAAAGATACATGTTAAGGGGCTCACACTTAAAAAAAACGGAAACAGCCTAAATGTCCAACAACACGGGAATAATTAAATAAATTACCAGACATCCATAAAATAGAACACCAAGCAGACATTAAAATGAGAAATTTAACTACTGATATGAAACGATGTCCACAGCATGTTGTTAAGTGACACAGTCTATGTCCTAGTAAATGTTTATATACAAAAAAATCTCTGACAGTTAACAGTGGCTACCTTCGGGCAACAGAATGACAGAAGGGAGAAGACACAAGGGCCCTTGATACAGTCTCTACTACTTGAACCTCTTATAACAGCCACCTGCACTGTAACTGCTCTTTATCCTTTTACAATGCTTTATTTTTAAACAGCATTTCACTTCCTGAAATAATATTATATAGTTGATTATTCCTACATCCTGCTCTAGAATGTCAGCTCAAAGGGTGCAACACTATCATTACTACCACTGTATCCCCAGTGCCTGACACAAGTAGGTGCTCAATTAGCAGGGCTTGCATTAATAAATCATTTTTTTAACAAGAAGCATATATTACTTTTAGATTAAAATTTTTTTAAGTTCGTGATGAGGATCCTAGAAACAATATGACTATAAATATCAAGAAAACATGAAAGAAATGCGGACCTGAAGTGCCTTCACACTGTACATGGGGAAAAGGATATAGAAACCCATATACCCCAGGTTTTCAGTGTTGGCATTTTACACCTCAAATACCAAAATAGTCTCAATAGAAAATCTATTTAACTCTCCATCATCAAATGACTGAGCACCTATTATACCGAAAGCCACGTGCCAAGCCCTGTATATTTAAAATGTAGAATAAATGGTCAGTAACATCAAAGAGATAATTAAATACGAGAAAATCTAAGATTTCTTCCAGGGATTAAAATGCCATGCATTTTTGAGGATTCAAGGGAAAAGATATATGCTCCCATAGACTTTTCATATACATGGCAACTAAAGTGAATGCTATATGAGATTCAAAGAAATGCTATATGAGATTCAAAGGAAAAAGCTATCACGGTGGTCTGATGGTCTGATACAAGAGGAAGAAGGATTTCACTAGGATTCTAAGAAAAAAAAACTATATACAGTCATGCGCTGAATAACGACGTTTCAGTCAATGACAGACCGCATATATGACAGTGGTCCCATAAGATTAGTACTATACAGCCTAGGTGTGCAGTAGGCTATACTATCTAGGTTTGTTTAAGTATACTCTAGATGTTTGTATGATGACAAAATCGCCTAACGATGCATTTCTCAGAACATATCCCTGTCGTTAGGTGACGCATAACTGTATAAGTGAAGAAGAAGGAGAAAAACATTCCATGAAAGTTTACTATAAACAGGTAAAAGAGCAAGAAAGTGTATGACTTAGGGAAACGAGTTTGGCAAAAGTGGTCAATCAGTAGTGAGAGAGGTTAGGACTGGCCTGTGGAAGGTCTAGAATGTTAAATTTGGACACTATTCTTTCTATGGGCCTTCAAGAGCCACTGAAAATTTCTAAAAGGATATTAATTTATGAAGACAAGGGATTGAAACAAAGAATCTGGCAACAATACAGAAGACAGATGAGCAGGGAGACTCCAGAGGCAGAAAGGCAGAGTGAGAACTATATATTGCAATTACTGAAGCTCAAGGCAGCAGAAATGGAAATAAAGGAATGCATATTTTCAAGGAATTTTCAAAGTCTACATGTAGTTTTGTGATTAAACAGAACATGAGAGAAAGAAGTGAGAGGTAATTAGGACTACATTTATAAGCACAGGCAAATGGTGGTACTACTAATAGAAGGAAGTCTGAAAAATACAGCTTTAGACATGTTGAGTCTAAAGAAGCAGGGAGAAATTCAGGTGGAGACCCAGCTAAGAAGCAATTAAGAGACATAAACCAAAAACCCAAAAAATGCCAAGGCAGAAGAGAAAGACTGAATAGCTGTCTAATAGATAAAGCAATAAGAATGGAGGAAAAGGCAAGTCAAAGAGCAGAAAGAAAACAGGAGGGGCTAGAAAATGCATCCATATTTAAGAGAGAAGAGAAGACACAAGCATTCCCAAACGGCAGAGAATGAGAGACAAGAAAGGTGATGGGAAATAAAAACAATGAAGTAAGGCCGGCCCCGTGGCTTAGCGGTTAAGTGCGCGTGCTCCGCTGCTGGCGGCCCGGGTTCAGATCCCGGGCGCGCACCGATGCACCGCTTCTCTGGCCATGCTGAGGCTGCGTCCCACATACAGCAACTAGAAGGATGTGCAACTATGACACAGCTACCTACTGGGGCTTTGGGGGAAAAAAGAAAAAAGGAGGAGGATTGGCAATAGATGTTAGCTCAGAGCCGGTCTTCCTCCGCAAAAAGACAGGAGGGTTAGCACGGATGTTAGCTCAGGGCTGATCTTCCTCACAAAAAAAAACAAAAAAACAAAAAAAACAATGAAGTATAACAACGGTCAAAGAAGTAAGAGTTATGTTTTCAGAAGGGAAAAATAAAAATTCTTTAAAAGAGCAGAAAGAGTAGAGAACTCAAATGATGCCTCCAACGAAGGGGAAGATGATGACCTTAGAGAAACAGGTTAAGCAGAACGGTAGATGTAAAAGAGACGTTATAGCGGATTTAAGAAGGAGAGAATAAAGTGGAAGCAGCCAATGCAAGCAGTCTTTCAAAAGTATCCACAGTGAAATACAAGTAATAACACAAAAATTCAGGAGCTTTCGCAGAAAGTACAAATAACATGTGACTGACAGTTTTTCTCTATTGAGTCAAAAGCAGTCGTTGTCACTCATTAATTCACTGGACTTTTTCTACTTTTTCTATTTTTCCAGCAGATAACTTTTTCTTTTCCCAACAGAGGAATGTACTTTTTGGTGATGTGTCAATTTTAAACATATTTCATTAAACACTCAAAACATGCAGTATTCAGAGGAGGTCTTTCATTGGTAGGATTTGACCAGCACAGATGAATTACAAAGCCAAGCTATTTTCAATGTGATGTTTTGACCAATAACTACTGAGTGTTTTAGCACTTGCAATTATTAACTGATAAACCTGAGAAAGTACAGTTATATTTGGTTTCTTCCTCTTTTCAAGGCAAACTATTAAGATCAGAATTTGTTTTACTTAAAAACAAAAAAGCAGCTCTTTGTGGGAAAACAGTAAAGTAAACAAACCAAGCGATTCAGAATCCAAGTGTAAATATAAACAGAATAGAGTCAATTATTTTTGACGGACATAATCAAGTTACACACGTAAGCAATCTGCTGCTTCAGATCTTTTGTGAAATATAGGGGGTAAGAGGGCAGCAGAGCATCATAATTAAATAAGAGAGACTGAAACTATTTAAAAAAAACTTACTTTAAGAATTTCATCCACACAGCTCACATCACCAGAAGCAGATGCCTTAAGAAAGAGGAAAAGAAACACACTTTAGATTTGGAGTCATGCATTATTAGATATTTTATCATTTGTTGCACAGATTGAACCACATTATTAGAAACGAAATTAAATTTAAAGAAGTATTTATGATCCCACTACTCTAAATCAGAACACTAATTAGAATCTTTGGACTAATTTCCTTAAGTACAAATTTTCCAAGCACTAAAAAATTTTAATCACCAAACTGTACATGACTTGAAGAACTTTATATTTTTCAGAAGTTCTTAAAAATCTTATCTTTCTTATACTTAGATTAGAAATAATTTTTTAAATGTAATTTTCAGGTGAGCTGCTTATCAAAAATTTAAGTTTATACACAAAATATACCATAATACTGAGATACATCATTTCACATAAAGTAACACACAGAATAAAACCAACATTATTGAAAGATACTTGTCTGGAACATGATGTACATTTTACACAGCATTTCTTAAATCACAGAAGTGAAGCTGTTTAGTCTAAAGAACAAACAGGAGTTAGAGAGCTGGAGTTTGAACTCAAGTCTAATTCTAAGAATCATGTTGTTTGAAGAAAACAAATTACCACTTTACTGTTCTCTTGCGAGGAGTAATTAGATGACAAATGCCATGAACAATGAGTTTCCCAAGGCCACAGGAAAGATTTTTAAATAGCATTTTACCTATTCCTGACCCCTCCCCCACCGTTTTAAGCTATGATCTATTTTCAACTCTGAGTTTTGGCTACTGACATGACTTTAAAAAATTTTTTATTGCAAAAACTACATAAAAAGATAAAATTTCAGCTATTTCACAACGAATGTTCACTTATTTGGTTATTCCGAATATCATACTTTGGCATGCAGTTACAAATACTGTAAATTTCAAACCACCACTATGAATCTGGAGCAGCTATCTCCAACCTTTAAGTGTAACCAGAGAAAAGGATCAAGGCATCCAAACCATACAATATTATCATCTCCATGGACTCTAAAAAGTCCTAATATTTACCACAATGAACCACGGCCCACATCTTATTCATGACTATCACTATGAGAACAGAATTTTTTTTTTTTTTTTTTTTTTTACAAAAGAACACAAGATGTATTATTCTATAAAAAGCAAAAGGAGCGGGCCGGCCTCGTGGCTTAGTGGTTAAGTGCGCACGCTCCGCTGCTGGCGGCCCGGGTTCGGATCCCGGGCGCGCACCGATGCACCGCTTCTCCGGCCATGCTGAGGCCGCGTCCCACATACAGCAACTAGAAGGATGTGCAGCTATGACATGCAACTATCTACTGGGGCTTTGGGGGAAAAAATAAAATTATAAAAATAAAAAAAAAAAAATTGTTTAAAAAAAAAAAAAGCAAAAGGAGGAAATCTAAGGTATTGATAGATCATGTTTTTATTCTAAAACTGACTTGTCATTTTAATATTTGAAAACAGTGAATGACGTTTTCTGTACTGCCCAGAGGGAAAGCTAACAGATCTATGGATCCATGTGGGAGTCAATCACAAGTCTTTCTCTACTGTTTTACATTCCTTACTATTAAGACAAAGAGACAGTTCAAGTTCAACCACAATTTCATGGTAAATTGCTTTACATAGTCACAATGTTAAAAACTCTACAGTGGACTTACATCCAATGGTTGGGAAGGTATTTTCAACTTGGTGAGATGTGCTTTGCTGCTGGGCTTCAGTTCAGTCATGCTGTTACCATGGGATTGGCTGCTGTAGTGCTCAGAGGACAGTTTTGGTTCCATGGACTCCTGTCCATCCATGGGCCGCACATAGGCAGTGGGTTTCTGTAACATTGAACTGGACTTTGACATCAATGAAGGTGGGAAAGACTGATTTGAGTGCTGTCCACTTGAAAAAGGTACACGGGAAGGAGAATCCCAATTTGCATCAGGGTCCCGAGGTGATTTGGAACGCTGATGTTCCTTGCTATGGTGATCATTCCCATGAGACCTGGAATGACTGGAGCTTAACGAAGAAACAGCCTGGGGTTTTCCAGGGCTGGAAGAGCGTGATTTGGAGTGTTCTGATCCATGCTGGCCTTTTTTCCGGCTACTGCTCCCACTACTACTATATGAGTCACGGTCATGCCTCTGGCCACTACTATTAGTGCCACTACTGCTGCCTGCACTGGTCCGCTGGCTACTGTGTCCACTCTGTAAGCCTGAGGACCGTTTCTGAGACTGAGAAGTACCGGGTGCAGGTCCTACTGGAGTCCATTTGCTACTCTGATGAGAGCTACCACGTCTCTGTTCAAAGAAATTTGGATTAGATTTTTCATCTGCTGTCGGTGGTACTGTAGGCTTAGGAATTGCAACAAGCTTTGGTATAGATCTGTCTCCTATGAAATCCTTCATTTCATCGTAGTTTCCAAGCATACTCTGAATACGACTTGATAGCTTATCTTCTTTGCTAGTCTACAAAAAAAAGTAAAATAAAATTATACAATTAGCATAAGCAGAAACAAAAGATGCTTCTAAATTGAATTTCCAAACTTCAAATGGAAAGTGGCTTTCCAAAGGGAGGCGTCATCTCATATCTTAAGGTTAACATTTCAAAGCAAACTCCAAATATATAACTTTTAAGAGTGAAAAAAATGTACTGAAAGTGAAAACCATTCATGCTAAAACAGAAATATTCTACAGGACACTGAGAAATACATACAATAGATTCCAGAAGGGAAAAAAAAAAATTCCAAATTTCACCAATAAATATACTGGAACAGTAGTAAAAATCTTTTGAAGAGCAGGAGAAGTAATCTGCCTTTATGTAATTAAGTTCCAGGTCAGTAGATTAGCCACCATTCATATTTTGGCAGTCTAGGAAAACATTATATTGCTTATAATTCAATATTACAGTTGGAAACAGAAACAAAAATTCAGTGAAACAAATTATACCCAACTGAGTGTTTGTTTATTTTAATTCCTTCTGTTACTTTGACTCATCAAGTTAATAGAAGTCCTAACAACAAATTAAGCATGGAAAAATCCATTGATAAAGTTTTAAATCTTGGCTATTAATTCTGACCAATAAATGCTCCAACTTTTGAAGTCAACAGTACATACTTTAAGTTTCAAGAATTATTCTTGGGTAATAAGAAGGTCCAAGATGTCTACAAGCTTTAGGATCCTTCCATATTCACATACATGGGAGAAAGAAAAGTTTACTGATTACATTAAAATGGAAATCAAGACTGAACTATCCTGATTTATTTTTGAGGTTGGCATGAATCAACGATGACTTCAGATTATCTGAAAATCAGTCTTATCCCTTTTAAACAAGACAGGTAAATATATAGCAATTTACAGACAATATCAAGATCAGAAATAAAATCCAATTCACTATAATGTAATTACACAATAAATGGTAGTATGATTCAAAGATTCTGGACCAAACTCCTGTTTTTTTTCAATATGCCTTTAATCCCTAATCCCAAACCCCAGGTTTTGTGTTATACTCATATAAATGATGTCAGTATAACTGGCTTCAGTTGGAAAATCCTTAAAAGCTCTGAATAAATGGCTTTTATAGATCTAATAAATGGTTTTTACAAACACCAAATGTTATAAGGGTAAACATAGGATATGTTGTTACATTTATATTTCATCAGAAAAAAGTCTAACACATTCTCAGTCTCATACTCTAAGACAATGATGGTCATTACTGCTACAACACATAGTACCCCTACTATTATACACAGTATAAGCCTTTAAAAACGTAAAAACAGTTCAAATGAAACCAAGAGCCAAATCAAATATTAGAGAGACATTTGTGGCCACTATAGCTACATTATGGTCATCGGAAGGGGTACCACTCAGTGTTTTATGTAATCCCAAATCAAGCATAACAGTAGTTAAAAAAACAGCAATTGGTTCAATTTACTGAACGCCTCTGACAATAGGCTTTAATCTAAATCTGATACTGTTGTCTTAAATACATTAGAAAATCAGAGAATTTAGTATAACAGAAAAAGAATCAGATAGATATTGAAGATACATTTATTCAAACATACTAATAGTCACTGAAACTTAGTAAACTAAGCAAGCAAATGGCAAGAAATAGGGAGAAACAAAAGAATCTATGAAATATTCATCTTTGATTAATGTTATACCCAAAGAACCTATGAAACAGCAGGCGATGCATACAGAGTCACAAAATTTTAATTTAATTCAAGGCTCAGAAAGGTGAAATGCTTGCCCAGAGTTAGTGGTAGAGCCAGGAATACAGAGATGAATGTTTGAGCTAATCCAAAACACATTTTCAAGAGTACAGGATAACAAGGGGGGGGGGTGGTGAGGATAACTTTAGGGCACTAGTAATGCTCCACTTCTTGATCTAGGTACTGATTATATGAAGCTGTTCATGTTGTGAAAATTCTTTCAGCTGTAACACTTATTTTGTGTACTTTTCCGTATGCATGTTATACTCCAATGAAAAGTTTACCCCCAAAATTATATTCTATTTAGAGGAAAGGAAAAAATGTTAAATGGTATAAATAATAATAACTCTAAGTTTAAACATTTTAAAAGCAAAAATGTCATGTTATTGGGGGAAAAAACATTCAAAGAAGGATAACTTACAACTTTGTATGGCTCAGCAAAGAGAGGAGAGCTAGGTGGGAAGGCGTCTTCGCCCTGCTGAATTTCCTGATTCCGCCTTTCCCGTTCTTTCATACGCAGCACATTCCGGTCTTCACGGTTCATGTTGCTATGAAGAGAACACAATCTTTACATCACAAAAAGAAAAAGAAAAATTAAATGTTCTGTACTGATTTTGTCAGTTTAATGATTCAATCAGAAATTCCCTTTCAACCTCCAAGTAATAACAGGCATTAGTGCTGAAGTTGGGTTTTGGCAATGGTTTTATCAACTAATACCAATAGTGTCTTCCTCAACTATCAGGACAGGAAATATTAGCCCAGAATATTAGGATCCACCCCATTGAAACACTTAACCTTATCAATTTTTAAAGTATTCTGCTAGCTAAAAATCAGCTAAAACTTATACATTCAGAGGGAAGGCAGTACTTAAACCCAAATCCTTAATATTTCCTATAAGCCTTTCGTGGCTTCCTCTTCAGAAATCTAACTATTCTTTGCCATTAGAGGCATACAACCCACTCCCACCTACCACCCCTCCCCCCAGGGTCCAGTGCTTTTCTCTACTTTGCATCTACCTTATCTTGATTTCTTTTTGTCCCAAACACAGCTTCCTTGGTGTCCATCCTTATGGCAGTTTGACCTCAGCTTTGCTGTTGCTCTAGATTCCCTAAAAAACGACATTTCTGCTCTAAATACATTAATATTTCAATTAACACCTCAATAAATGGCAAAACTGAGGCTTTCAGCAATAGAATCTAAAATTAACTTGGGTTAGTAACAGTAGTCAAAATTGTGTTGAAAAAGAAAGTCTTTTGGTGGGGAGGGAAAAATGAGGGTGTCATTTCTATAATCATGACAGACAGTTTGTTGTATTTTCACTAAGAACAAACCAAGGAAAATAGTTTATTTATAGAAGCAGGGATTTTGGTTAAATAGATAAAAATGAAAAAGGTTGTAAAACCCTGGGACCAGGGATTACCAGGGACTCTGCAACACTCTTCTCTAGAGATAGATTTAACCACCTGTCCTGCTTTTGTTTTGTTTTGTTTTTTTAAAAAAAGTTCTGTTGGAGGCCAAAGGGAAAAATCAGGTTCTACTTGTAGAGCACTTCTAGCCTTATGATTCATAAGTCAAATCTAACCAGAAAATTAAAGTCAATCAAGATTTGGGGAAACTATAATTGTAAAATTAGAATGGACAGCAGAACCAATATATTCTTGAGGATTTTTTTTTCCTCCCCCAAGCCCCAGTACATAGTTGTATACTCTAGTTGTAAGCCCTTCTAGTTCTTCTATGTGAGCCACCGCCACAGCATGGCTACTGACAGACAGGTGATGTGGTTCCACACCCAGAAACTGAACCTGGGCCACCAAAGCAGTGAGAGCATGAACCTTAACCACTAAGGCTGGCTCACTGAGGACTTTTATCAGTGGTTAGAACAGTGCAAGTAAACATTCAAAGATAAAACTTCCTGATTTGCACAATTTACTATCACGGAAATAAAGTGATTTAAATATTTTAAAAAGTGTTCTAAGTGTTCCAAATGTATATTCAAGTTTTTTCTTTTTTGTACAATTTTCTAATAAACTTAGACAAGAATATAAGCTATGTTGAGGCATGGAAATAATGTGTGCTTTCTTTAGTCTCCCTAGTACTTAGCACCATATGGAACCACAAGAGTGTTTGAATCTTTCTTTAAAAAGTACCATAAAACATCTACACTTTAGTATTCAGAGAATAAAATAAAAAAACATATATTATCTTCCAGTTCACTTGAACCAACTAATAATTGTATATCACTAACAACTGAGTTTCAGATAGACCTCTTGAGCTATCGTGCTGCAACATACCAAGTTATTTGTATCTGACATAGTCTAAGGGCCATGTTAACTATCAATTTCCTTAACATTTCCTCAATTCAATTCCTGACAGATCTGAAAACAAGAGAAATGCCTCCTTTAAACTATGATTTAATTTTATATATTCAACAGCACTACAATAATCACGTAAGAAACACCTGCACACTTATTGCAAAAATAGATATGATTCTCACAATAAAATTACTCCTATAATCCAATAGCAAAAACCTTTTTCTTTTCTTAAACAATGACAGTCATCCAACTGAATATTTCCTCTTTTAACAAGGCTGCCAAGAAGCTCAGAACTAAATTAACTGATTGCTTATAAGAACTAATATTCCACTTGTAGCTCTTATTCTCTAATTTTTTTCTGATCTGACTTATTTTCACATCTAATTTATCAGTTCCATTTTTTTCTCCTGTGTTTTTGCACATCAACATTTTTGCCTAAGATAAAGTTTCCCCAAACGCAGTAATTCCAGTAATCTGAGCTCGCCTAAGATTAACATGAAATTCAAACATGAGTCAATCTGAAGTACATCTTTGCTATACAGGCAAAACTATTTTATAGCACATCCCTCAGGATATTTGCAACTACTGTACTGAAATAGGATTCAGTTAAAATTAGCAAATTACTACATCACAACATAATCTGTGGGACTACTAGATAAAATAATTTTTAAAAGAAAATAAGTAGAAAGGAGGGTTCTCCATCTAAAATTTTTAATTACTTAAGGTAAATTATTTTAAGTACCCATCAAGTACTTCTATTAAGTTGATACATTAATGACAAACAATTATAAACAACATTCTGTGGACAAAAAGAAATGCAAAGAAATCTTCAACTTTACTTAGGTTTGTTGCTGGTAGTAACAATGGTGTAGCAGTTTCACTGCTACAAGACTAAGTAAATGAGTAAATATATTGAGACTTTTGGAGAACCAGGGATCTTACTATAAGAGAAGAGAGATACAAATATAGAACGGAATAAGGAGAAAAAGAACCTTTGGGGATTAGGAATTAGAAGCAGTACTATGAATTCATATATACATAGAACTCATATATATATACATATACATAATATATATATATGGTCTCTAGCTCTATCCACTGAAAGAGTCCAGGAGCAGTGACACCCCAGTAGAAAAAAGCATCTTCAGCACCCAGATTTTGATTTCCAATATCATTCCCCACTAAAATGGAACAGGACTTCCTGGAGAAATAGCTAATTCCAAGGCTGCAGCAGGGAAAGCACAAAGTGCGCCTAAAACATCTTGTTGTAACAGCAAGAAAATGCTCAAAAACAGATGGAGACATATCAAAAGGGCATGGGAACCAGCCCTTTTGAAGGAGCTCTCACCAGTCAGATTTAGAAACATGAGCATCGATGTGAACAAAGACTTCAGAAGGGAATATAACCAACTCAAGTAAAAAGAACCCGAATCCACAGCAATAATAGCCAAGAATAAAATGAAAAGAGAAATAAAGCAGGGAGAGAATAACCTTCTTTACAGAAGAATGCCAACTAATAAATGTAGAAGAAATAAAAGAATTAGAAAATCACCTTTTTGCAGCCACTACAGCAGTAATTGAGGCAAGACTCATCAACGGATGCTAAAATCATTGGGTAAAAATTTTAAGGGGAATGGGATATTCAAGTATCGCCCTCACAAGCTACTAACTACAAAGAAAAAATCTTTAAAATAAAGAAGTACAATAAACACTACCCTTAATCAAGTGATCAGACTTAACATCATCAATAATGAGACAAACTGACATGTGCCTTCCAATGTGATATACTGAAGACATAGCACCACCTAGGTATTCTTCCTGCTAAAAATATTTAACCTGAATCTAATCATGAGTAAGCCAACAAACCTAAATTGAGAAAAGTTCTGCAAAATTGGTCTGGATTCTTCAAAAATGTTAATACCCTGAGACCAAAAAAAAAAACAAAAAAAAACCCCTGGAGATTATGTCTGCATTCTTCTACATTCAAAGAGACACACCAACTAAATGCAATGCACAATCCTTCATTTTCCAGATCCTAGATCTGGGGAGAAAAAAAATGGTTGTGAAGGACATTATTGGGAAACTTGGGGAAATTTGAATATGGACAGTATTTCAGATAACTGGATCAATGCTAAGTTTCTCTACTGTGATAACCGTATTTGGTTACGTAGAAGAATGTCTTTGATTCTTATGACATACACACCATACACGGGTGAAATGTCATCATGTCTGTAACTATCAAATGGTTCAGCACCCATCTGAATATATATCTAATATGCACAGACATATTTGTGTGTGTGTGTGTGTGTATGTGTGTGTGTGGAGAGAGAGGGAGGGAGGGGAAAACACAGAAGGACAAGAGGAGGAGGAAGAGTAGCAGCAGCAATTACAGTAAAAATGTTAACAAGTGGTATATCCAGGTGAAAGGTATATGGATGTACATTATACTTTTCTTATAGGTTTGAAATTTTTCAAAATAAAAGATGGAAGCACAAGAGTCATAAAGTTTACATGCACTATGGGTGCTCTCCAGCATTTTTCAGCCTGGAGATTTACTATCAAACTATCTATTCTCTAGGGCTTAAAGTATTTCTCTCATGCATAAGGTGTGCCCCCTTGCACCTCTAAGTTCACACTGATCATCCAATTCTCCTCAACTCCTCCTCTGTATCACTGTCTATTATACTTGAGAAAGTGTAATACCATTCTTGGCTAGGAGGGGACACCATCAACATGCCAAGCTTCCATTTCCCTAAAGTAAATGGGCATCCCAAATTTATCTAAAGCAAGATTTAATATTTATTATTTACTAAGTATACTTATTAACTTAATAAGTGTGTTGGGCCGGCCCCGTAGCTTAGCGGTTAAGTGCGCATGCTCCGCTGCTGGCGGCCCGGGTTCGGATCCCGGGCGCGCACCGACACACCGCTTGTCCAGCCATGCTGAGGCTGCGTCCCACATGCAGCAACTAGAAGGATGTGCAGCTATGACCTACAACTATCTACTGGGGCTTTGGGGGAAAAATGAATAAATAAATAAAATTATATTAAAAAAAAACTTAATAAGTATGCAACAAGCATTATATACTTAGCACTGGGGAAAGAACAAGAAGAATTTGCCACACTAGATATTAAAACTTACTATATGGCCATCACTGTTAACAAAATAGCATGGTAGTGCACAGAAATGAAAAAACCAATGAGTAAAACAGAGACCAGAAGTAAACCCAAAGATAAATGGGATTTAAATAATTAACAAATCTAATTCAATGAGAAAAGAATGTTTTATTTAAAATGTTCTATTTAATAACAATAATTAAGAGCCAAGTACTTTTCTAAGATGACATAGTTATTAAAATTGTGAAGCCATGTTTCCAACTCAGACAGAAAAAAACAGACAAATCCTTCAGCCCAGCAGCCTTACTCATGGGACTATATCCCAAGAACTAAAAGCATATAAAGATGTTTACTGCAGTACAGTTTTTAGTGGTAAAACAACTGAAAATAAATGAATGCCCAAGAACAGAGATATGGTTAAATAAACCATAGTTTACTAAGATAAATGAGGTAGATCTTTGCCAATTAACTTGGAACAATTTCCAAAACTGCTGTTATGTGAGAAAAAGTAGATTCAACACAATGTATGTAATATGACTGATCCCTCATTACTTCTTTAGGGTAAACTCAGAAGAAGAATGGTTAGGTGTTGAGTACTGTATAGATAAGAATTAGATATAACTAACTCAACTAACATCAGAAAGTGTCCACTAATATTCTCACAAGCTAAACATAAAAAA